GATAAGCTCTTGGTACTCATCATTATGCTTCACACCGAAACTGAATCCTTTTTCTCCTTGTATCAGGAATGAAAATAGGCCAGATGACTTGTCAAGAGCCTATAGCCTTTTTAAAGACCTATTTCCCTTAACAATCTAAACCCAAGCTCTCTGACAAACCTATTAACCCTGTCAACTGGCCTAGGCCTATTATATTTTTTTAAAGGTTATAATTGTAATTAACCTTTCTATAGAAACCTATTTTGAAAGAAATGAAAGAATCAACCTCTTCCTTTCATAAACCTAGTCACCACTCTTCACTTTTTCCTTCAACCTTCAATCTATCATGCTCACTACTCATTCCCAAGTTTCACTCTCTGTCCTTTCTAACCTCCATTCTCCATCCAGTGTAGTTGAAGAACACAAGAGGTAGTCAAATCAAAGAGCCTTGATGCAAAATGCCCCTATCACTACCTCCCATCCTTTTCTTATCTGTTGGCATCTTCACTCTTCAGTCTTGAGATATTCAACTTTTCTTCCCTCAGTGTTTGAATTTTCTTCTTCATTGACTATTTAATTTTATCTGTATATGTGGGTGTGTGGATGTGAATAAATAGATTGGTATCTACTGTAAATTTTAACTTTTCTTCTTTTAGTGCTCGTGCTCTGTGCTTTTCTAGTGTTTTAATTATATATTGTTATGTTTCTCTTTTGAGGATATTTTAATGGAAATTTCTCTGCTCTGGGTGCTTGTTTTGTATTTGATGTTGTGATGATTTTCTTTTGTTTTTTTTTTTTGGGCAGTTCTAGTCTAGTGATTCAACTGTCAAATCTGTTCGGTGATATGGTCCTTACAGTAATAGTTTCTTAATTCATATTCTGGTGACCATGACATTGTCAAAACATTGCTTCAAGTGTTGACAGATGTACTTTATCCATTTGAGGATGCCATTTATTATTTTGGTTTGAACTAGATAGGTTGTTTAGAAATAGTATTGAAGTGCATTTGTTGAATCATGCCACGCATATCTTTTAGTCTCAAGTCTATGAATGGCATTATTAAGTCTAAGATGATTTGCCTTCATTCCTTTACTCAATTTCTCAATTTTTTTTTTTACAAATTGATTAGAACCCATCAATGGATTATGTTATTATTGATCTAATATACATTTGATTTCTTCTTCTCGAGGCATTTGAACAAGAAGAGGAAATTGTGTTGAAGATTTGATGCTTTGCCATTTGAAGATTTGTTGTGATTGTAATAAAAATTGTTAAGGTATTTGGTGTTGTCTTCTTCATTGATTAGATTATTTCATATTTTATGCTTTTATTTTTGACCATTTGGGTTGAGTTGTTGTAATTTTGGATTGATTTATATATGTTTGAAATTCAAAATATACAGGCTTCTTAATAGGTTTCAAGTCATGCCAAGCTTTTGTGCAGGTAAAATCTAGGCTAAATACAAGGCTTGTCATAAGCCATAGGTCAGTTTCAGGCTAGCAGGCTTCAACACAGACCTAGCCTGTTAAGGATAAAGCCTAGCTTGTTTCTGCCCCTTCTTGCAGGGATCAAATTAGATTAAATGGAATCTACAACATGACATGGAAGTAAATCATGCCAGGAAAATTCAATGGAGTGTTTTCTTTGGATACATATGCCAAGATATGTGGGTCCCTCTTTGTGGACAATTTTTTGATCTATTGACTAGAATCCAAAATGAAAATGCAATTGACACCCTGTTCCGTGCAAGCGCAGACAAGAATTTGGCTGACAAGTGTGGTGTCTACAATTACCAAAGAAAGAGAACAGATACATGAAGTGGATGCAGTTATTTTGGAAACAAATGGTTTGGTGTTGCAAAATGGTTAGAGTGGCTATGGAGGAGTACTATGATTAGGACAGGGGGAGTGGGTATGCAGTTACCAGTGCAAACTTATTTTAGTCCCTCCAACAATAGCTAAAATTTTTGGAATTTTGTATGGTTTAAACACATGTTGGGCTAGGAGATACAGGAACATAGTTGTTTTTTCTGATTGTACTAATGCTATTAATCTTATTATGAGGGGATGTGATCTTGACCACCCCTTTAGGGGTTTGATAGATGATACTAGACTAGTTGTTCATAGGAACTGGTAAGGTAGTTTTTCAGATATTCATAAGAAATATGTTAGTACGGTTGATTTCTTAGCTAGCTCCTCTCCCCAGGTGGGAGATGCTTTTTGCATCCTTGATCACCCTCCACTAGAATGTCGAGAGATAGAGTTTGATGAAGAATTCTGATCACTGTGGCTTTTGTTGGGTTTACCTCACTTGATTGAAATACAGTGTTTTACTCAAAAAAAAAAAAACAAAAAAACCTTATAGATAGAATGGAGGGAACAAAATAATGATAACTAAATTTTATAATCTTTCAATAACGAAAATAACTGATAACCTAAACAAATATGACATCGCTAAGAAGTCATAACAAGTGAGCAGGTAATAAAATCCAACGACGAGATTTTTTTAAGTTTGTCCTTTTATCTCATATTTAGATTATTAATATCAAATCATCAATTTCTTATTATTTTTAGTATGCATGATACTATTCCATCAATTAATGATATACTAATTATCAGCCACATAATTGTAAATTATATACATTTCAAATGGTAACGTGTTATAAGATTATTTATTCATGATTAATGATGCTGAATTATTGTGTAATATATGTTTTTTTAAAAATATAATGCTAGTTTATTTCTACAATGTAGTCCATATAAAGGTGATTATCAAATTAATATTAATAAATTATTTGTGCATAAAAGGTAGTTAAAAGTAACTAATTCATAACCAAACATAATATTTTTCTGAATATTGCCTACAGCCTTCTTTAAATACAAGTTTATCCAAGACCCGTTTTATTTTATCTCGAGTAGTTATATGTTTTTCACTTGTTCTGCCAACAATTATAGGGTTTTTACTACATGTGCAAAAATTATTACATAAATATCTAAAATTGTTATTTCACATGTATCATTCTGTCAATTCGATTAATGATATACTAATAGCGACTACTCTTGTACTAAATATAAGCCATTTGTAGCATATATAATGTTTGTTTTTCAATTTTTTTAAGGAAAAAAAGACAAAATGATATATAAAAGTCTAAATGTCACAGTGAGATATTAAGCGGATAAGCTGCCTTAAGGAATTAAGAAAAGAAGATAAAATTTTTTTATCTTTATTTGATTCTCATGGGAAAGAGAAAAAGAATGAAAAGATTTAAGAATAATTTGTAAATGTACAAAGATGTTTGGCAACTCTCAAAAGCACTTTAAAAAAAATACTTTTACACAAATTAAGATAAAACTGTTTTCACATGCTTATCTTGAACTTTGTAAAACCATTTTTAAAATTATATTCAAACAATCATGTAGAGAAAGAAAGAGAAAATTTCAATAAGGGTAAAATTAAAATTTTTTTATCAATTTAATACATTTCTTGATATATAAAAATGTGGTATAAATGACTTACGTTAAAAACTAGAACCAAAAAATTGGTTAAGTTACCCATTTGAACCCATTTAATTTGAGAATGGAGCCTGTGATTTGGGGTTTTTACTGATTAAATTGAACTTAAAAGAATTAGCCTTGAAGAGTGGAGACTGATTGACTAGATATCTTATTTATATTTACTTGTCGTCTATTTATTTATTATATTTTTTTAAACTTTAAAAAGCAACACAACACTCAAACTCTCCCCTCCGACTCACTCGACACTCTGGTTCACTCTCAGCTCATGTCTCTCACCCTCCCCTCCAAAATTTTTAACTAAGGGTGTGTATGGCTTTATAGAGGAAATGAGAGTGGGTATTTTAATAGAGGGAAAGGAGATAAAAGAAGATGAGGAATTTTAATATTACATTATTTGGATTAATATAAGGAGAGGGAAGGAATTTTAATATTAACTTGTTTGGTTTAGGAAGGGAGGAGAGACAAAATATTTTTTGTATGGACAATTTTGTCCTTATATTATTTAAGTTGATTTTTACAAACTTTATAGAATAATTAATAAAATATAATTATAAATAGCATTTAATATATAAGATCAACTTTTTATAATTAACCAAATTAAATAAATATAATGATAATACGTAATTAATATCTACTATATATCCAATGACTATAATTGTATTTATATCCAAGATATTGTCTCATGAAGTAAATATGTTTAATATGAGTATGTTTTTTCTAGCTTTCATTTTCTTTTGTGTTATTGGTATGAGTAGTCAGATAACTTTTTTAACGACAACATAGATAATTTATTTGTATGTTTTTGTTTTGTGTTCTTGATTTGCATTTGAAAATTACAGTGCTCTTGCTACGAATCCATCCTGTTTGTTACGAGCATTCTGTGCGGCACGTTTGGTGCGTTTTTCCATCCCAAATTTGAAATCTCATTCATTATCCTTCATGCTCAAAATTCTTGCCCCGTGACGGGAGTTTTACCCCTTTTTTTCCCTCATAAACTTCCCTCCAAAATTGAGAGAATTTAGGAAGAAAGGGTAATATTTTGACTTATATTGATTAATATGTTTATATTATTTTCTTCAAACTTCTTCTCTTGGCATGTCAAGAAAGGGCTTCAATTGCGAAGCTTCATGCTTTGATAATCTTGACTGGTCCTTTCACCCAAAATAACATTGGTGGACAGCTCATAGCATCTTATGTACGTATTGGTTCTAAACTCCTTGCTTCCATTCTTTTTCATTTGGGTTGAAGATTATCAATTGTCCTGTAATTTCCAATTTTCCATGTCGATTGTTCATATAAAAACAATTTATATTAGATAATAAAATATTGAAACTTGAAAATACGGTTGATGAAAGCCCAGAAAGCCATCTTATTTAAATAGGTTCTGTATTTTAGTGGTGGGGTTGAGAGATGCGAATTTATTTAATTACTATATTTAGCTCTAAATATACAAACTAATTTAATGTAGGCCTCGTAACCTATCATAGCATCTAGGGAACGTCTCTCCGAAGTTCGGATTAACGACGAAATGCGGCACTTAAATGTGACGACCCTCAAACTGACAAGGAAAGGAAAATTGGGAGAAACAGAAACCGTATAGGCGACAAGTTGACCTTTCTCAATGCTCTTGAAAATGCTCAGCAGGCATTTCAACTTGGAATCGAATTCTGCTTACCGCGGATGGATACATATCTTGCTATTTACGTCTCTGCTACTGCGATGATTGATAATCGCTGAACGGAATTCTAGTTTCACGCTTCTTCATGGCTCACCAGCAGCTTATCGACTCACTCACCTCCCATATCTCTCTCTACAATTCTCAATCCCTTCCTTCGAACCCCAACCCTAACCCCAGGTCTGCAATTCTGAAATGGTTCTCATCTCTCTCCGTTCAGCAGCGCGTAGCTCATCTCACCACTGTCGATTTTAAGTTCGTTCAGGTTCTGATTCAAATGTTGTGCAAGGTTCGAGCTCATGGCCATTGCTCCTTCATCATTCTTCCCGATCTTCCCTCGTGGGATCAATTACCCAGCCTCTGTTGCAAGAAGTCTCGTGGGCTTTTGTCACGTGTGGCCGAGTCGAACGAGTCAGAAAGGTGGGTTTTTGAGTCCATCCGGTTATTTGGGTCGAGGGAAGGGGAAAATATCGAAGCTTGCTCGTCTTCAGTGAAGGGACTTGATGCAATGACTGTGACGGAGGCCTTCGTTGAGAATGTGGATCGGATGGTGGAAGCAATGGATAGAATTTCAAACGGAGGTTTTTTGAGAGGTGACACGAATGAATTAGGAGCTGATTGGGTGGAATTACATTGGTTAAAATCAAAAGGATATTACAGTATTCAGGCTTTCGTGGTGAATAGGCTTGAGGTTTCCTTGAGGCTGGCTTGGATAAACTGCAACAGCAGTGGAAGAAAGAGAGGGGTGAAATTGAAAGAGAGGTTAGTTGGGGCAGGGGTTTCAACTAATGTGTATTGGAGGATAAAGGGTTGCGTGGACTGGTGGGGGAACCTGGATGCTGCAGCAAGGAAGAAGGTCCTGACGACTATCATGGGGAAAGCAGCCAAAAATTTGGTATTGATTTGTTCCCTTTAATTATCGTTTATTTGATATTTATGCAAATTGGGTTACAAATGCTTTGTACTAGCTAACAATCCAAATTAAAAACGTAGCAAGGTTATGGTAAGTTATTTAGAAGGGTGTTTCTGACAACATTATTTGATTATCCCGTTCTGGGTTAAATTTATACACATGGATAATATGTGTCACTTCCAAGATCAGCTTTAATGGACCTGCCCAACTTATCAAATTTAGCCTTCTGGAATTGCTCACTTCTACTCATTTTGCATCTAGAGTTTTCATCTGGGAGCTCAATCTTGTTGGGCTTTGTATCAGCAAACGTATTTAAGAAAATTATACCTGAATTTGGGTAAAAAATAATTTTGAAAAATTTTTAAGATCTGATAGAGTAAAAATGCATGGAAACCTGTTTGCTAGTTTCCTAATTGCAAAAGGAAACAAAAAATTTAAAAAGTAGATGTAGTTCTTTTATAACATTAACCAACTGACGATACTAAGCTTGGCTTAATTGGTTCCTATTTCATCTGCCCACGGCCTTGTGCTATAAGCTTGATTCAAAATATCATGAACAGAGACATCTGTGTTTATATTATGTTTAAGCATTAGAGCCCCCTAGCATCGGGGACTTAGTTATATGAAGGCTTTCTTTGTTCACAATAACTTTATAGCTTCTGGGACTTTCTTTTGTATTTTCGTAAATAGGCCTTATCTAATCCCCATGCTGACTTTTGATTTACATGTTTTTCAGATTTATGAGGTTTTCAAAGTGGCACATGATGCTTTGGAAGATGACACATGGCTGTACAGTACAGGGGTAGGACAATCACTGCCATACAACTATTCTACATCAGCTGAAAGGTTGATTCGGATATTTCCTGATGATGTAGAATTTGGAAAAACTATCAGGCCACCCACATTTTCTAGGAGACCTGCTTCTTTAGCCAGAGCCTTTAATTCATTATTAGTGCTTCAGGATCTTAATAAAATGATATCATTGTGTTGTAATAGTGATTATGATATAGAAAAACTATTATTTAGTTCTTTGTGTTCTGTTTGTACCATATCTGATTGTATAACAAGAAAGTTGCGAGGGTTTTTGATGGTTATTTCAGTTGACTCCACAAGACTTGAACTTTTAGGAGAGGAATGTGACAAGTCTTCATCAAGCAAAGCTAAAGAAAAGCTCAGTAATTGTAGCCATAAAAAGAAAGGTCGGGCCCGCAATTCTAAAAAGCTAAACCCTTTACCAAAGTCATGTGTGAATGATATTTCACATAAAATTCCTCCAAAGGTACTAATTCCCATTTACTTAGGTGGCTGTAACCCTGTTATTATAGACATGCTACCTGTTTGAATTGTAACTTGTTCCCTAAATGTTATTCTAGGATGTCGTCGGTGTAGTGGAGAATCAACAGAAGACTAATTCAACAGGACCCATGCAACTTCCTGATGTATCTCTGGGGAAGGATGCTTTTAGGGGAAGCTCGTCCTCAACTGCTGAAATGGTTGTGATCTAAATTTTTCTTCTCAAGTTTGAATCTTATTTCGAGCTGGTGATTAAAATGTTTTATAATGTGTTATCAGGACCATAACCAACAATGGAATGTTGGGAAACGTCGAACTTCTTCAAGAAGAAGAAAAGAGAAAAATAAAAATAGGAAGTCTCTTGTTGATTGTCAAGTTGGAGATTCTCAAAATTCAATTACAGTTACTGCCTCTTCACTTGTTGTTTCTGAAGTGGAGGTGGCAATTGCTGATCGTTTTTGTGATACTTCAACTGTTGAGAATGTGAAAAAGGAATGTGCAAGTGGTACATTTGTTTGTCCTGCAGATTCAAGCTTTGTTAATTCTCATAATGGACCTAATAGGGAGGACAACTGTACCCAAGAAATTCAAGATTATGTTGAAGATTTTTCTGAACGTTGCAATAGTGTAGGTGCTCAGCCTTGTCAATTGTTAAATGAAAAGAAAATTTCATCATGTACATTAGATAATTCAACTTGTGATGGAGATTATGTTAAAACTCCACCTGTACCTGCCTTGAAACTTGGTGGACTCTTTTGCAATGAAGACACTAGTCCTTTGAACTCTTCATATCTTGCTGAATTAGATGCCAAGTCAAGTTTTCTGAAAAAGCCAATTAGAGAGGCTCAGTTGAAAGAACATCTCTTTTTGAAGGAGCAAAATAGAGGCTGCCTATTTGAAAGTCAAAAACCAATTTTTTCAAAATATCGTCCATATGAATGGCCTGGTGTGCCCTCTATATATTTTCCATCAATTAATTCACACCTCCCTCCTGCTACTGATAGACTGCATCTGGATGTTGGACGCAACTGGCATAATCACTTTTGTCACTCTTTTGTTCCCACATTTCAGCAGGGGAGGAATGCTCCTATTGATGGTGGATGCAACCCAATTCTGTCTCATCCTATTCCTATGAGTTCAGATTGGCCTCCAGTTTTTCGAAGTGGCGTGGCTCCTTCACCGAGTTGTAATTATGATTCTGGATTCATGCCCGGGTGGCACTCTAGCTTGTCAAATAGTTTGGCTTCTCATGGTGTGCAGGTTAATGCAGCATCTCCTGATGACGAAAGAAAATATCATGGAGACTTACCTGATTTGATGAATGCACAGGAGCTAGCTGATGAATATGACAATCACTGGTTATCAGAGGAAGAGTATGAGGTTCATGCAGTTCCTGGTATAGACTATAACCAATACTTTGGTGGTGGCATAATGTACTGGGATCCTTCTGATCATCCAGGAACAGGTTTCTCCCGAGCTCCCTCTCTTAGCTCAGATGATAGTGTTTGGGCTTGGCGTGAGGCTGATGCTAATAGGGCTGTGGATGACATAATTGCTTTCTCATCTTCATATAGTACAAATGGTTTGACTTCACCTACTGCCGCTTCATTGTGCTCACCATTTGATCCTATGGGAACTACACCCCAGACTGTTGGATATGTGGTGTCAGGTAATGAAGTACCTGGAAAGGTGTTGCATTCTTCATCAGTCACCAGTGCAGCAATGGAGGAAGATACCTCTGGGTCTCTTGGTAGTAATTTACCTTGTGAAGTTGAAGGGAAGACAGGCGATTCGCATCCATACCCCATTCTAAGGCCGATCATTATTCCTAACTTGTCGAGGGAAAGATCAAGATCTGATTTTATGCGAAGTGTAGATCATAAAAGTCCATGTGTTCCACGTACAAGGCGGGATCAACGTTGCATCAAACGGCCACCATCACCTGTAGTGCTCTCTGTGCCACGGGCTCCGCGTCCACCCCCACCTTCTCCTGTGAGTGATTCTAGGAAACAAAGGGGTTTTCCAACAGTTAGATCTGGCAGTTCCAGTCCAAGGCACTGGGGTGTGAGGGGTTGGTATCATGATGGAAATAATTTTGAGGAAACTTGTTTAAGAGTGGATGGTGCTGAAGTTGTGTGGCCTTCTTGGAGAAGTAATAACCTTGCAGTGCAACCCAAGATCCAGCCTTTACCTGCTGCCTTGCTGCAAGATCGCTTGATTGCAATGACGCAGATAACACTTGATCAGGAACATGTAAAGTTCTCTATTAGCTGGTTTATTTTATAGATTTATGCTAGTGCTCATTGTTTAATTTTAATCATACAGCCAGATGTTGCCTTTCCCCTGCAACCACTTGATTCTCAGAGCTGTCCTACGAGGAGTGCATCTTTGGCATTAATGCACAGCCTCCTTCATGATGAGATTGACTCTTTCTGTAAAAAGGTATAAAAATTAGTTTGCCTGACCCTTTTCTGTCTTGGATTTCAATCTTATAACTGAATAGTAGTACTGTTTTATATTTTTATTTGTTCAATTGGGGTCCAACTGCAGAACTTTATTAGTGTTACCAAGTTTTATAATGAATGAGTAAACTAGGATATATTAAATTTTAGCTGAATTCTTCGTATTATTATTTGCATGTATGAAATCATTTTATCTCTAAATTAGTAATTAACTATTAATTAATATTAATAATACATATGAAAAACGATGAAAAAACATTTGCTTGGCAGCAATAATCTTCATGTGCACCATAGTCACCAAGGTTTTAGACTTCAGTCATTTGGTTGCACTTTTGTTCTTTAAAAAACTTTTTTATGTAGTTTTTCCAGAGTAAATGGCATGATGCTTTCTATATTGCCCCCTCTAGTTACGGAAAATTACAGTTTATTTTTGGGTCCAAAATCAGTTGCTTCTTATGGTTTTAAGTGTGTAATTCAGTACTCTTTTCGGTTTGTTTGGTTACCTCTGGTTACCTTGTAGTAGTTTCATTCAAATTTTGAAGAAAATGATAACTCAAATGTTAAAACAATGAGCATTTTTTGGCTTAAATTTCTGTTTTACTCTTATATTGAATATATCCACTGTGTTTCTAAGTTTCATTTATTAAATACTTTAGATTAAATCCTAGTAATGGCCATGAAAGTCTTTTGAAGTTGTCAAGGTATAAATAAGACGTCTTCTTTTACAGTATTTTCTCCTCCATTGATTTGAAGGCTGGTCCAGGTTAGCTGAGCCTGCTGGCTCTACCTAGAAGCTGGACTTGTCCTGTTTTTTTATCACATGCTGACTTGGGCTGGGCCGACTCACCTGGGCTGGGCCGGTTATGCTCACCCTTGAAGAATAGTGTTTGTATTAATGTCACGACAAGCGACAAGGCAACAAAATGTAATTTAATTAAAAAATAAAGGCCGTATAGGACATACTGTTTTTGATTTAATTGGATCAGTTTGAGATGAGCTTTCAACTCATTCTACAATGTTTGTACTTTTAAGAAAAATATTAAAAAGAAATGGCAAAAACGGGTGTTCATGCATGTGTATTAGATTGGTTGGTATTGTTTAAATCCACACCTTGACCTATAAATTCAGGCCAACTCAATGAGCATCCCTTACGTGAACAGTGTTGGGTAGACTGACTGGTTCAAAACTGTATGGCGCACACTGATTTCCGTCAGTACAGGCATTACTGGTTTAAGAATGGTGATGAGATTGATGCTTGGCTCGTTCCCATTCCATCTTGTTGATCTATCAAGTTTGGTACTTTGGTCCTTTATATTTTTGATCTATAGTAGAAAGCAGTATGTCTTCATTTAGCCCCACAGGATAAAAGATTCTACGGATGTTATGATGCGCCCTGGTTATAGAATAGGTATGGAATTTTAGGGATATCTAGCATCTTGAATAGCTCAAGAGTGTCTTTCTATTTTTCTGCATTGGTTTCTATTTTTGTGTAAAAGCAATTTTCCCTATTTCTAATTTTAGGGATATCCAGCATCTTGAGTAGCTCAAGAGTGTTTTTATATTTTTCTGCATTGGTTTCTGTTTTTGTGTAAAAACAATTTTTTCTGTTTCTTTGGTGTTTTAGTTCCATTAATCCCAGTATTCTCATATACTTTTTAGTGCATTTGTTTGGGTTTCATGACGTTACTTGGCGTTTATTCTTTGTATATATGATGCAACCCAAGGTTGCTGCGGAGAATATGTCTAGGAAACCATACATTAATTGGGCTGTCAAGAGAGTTACCCGGTCTCTGCAAGTTCTATGGCCCCGATCCAGGACACACATATTTGGTTCTAATGCAACTCGCATGGCTCTTCCAACAAGTGATGTTGACCTTGTGGTTTGTCTTCCTCCTGTGAGAAACCTGGTAATTTTTCCATTTTTCTTCTGCTGTATTGTCTATGCTTTTATTTTGGTGGAGTAACTCATTTTTTTTTTTTTTTTTAAATATAATGGTTTAGGAGCCAATAAAAGAAGCTGGAATACTTGAGGGCCGTAATGGTATCAAAGAAACTTGTCTTCAGGTATATTGGCGATAAACTATGCCATGCCAGTCTGACACCTTATGTGTCCCCTGTATGGCATCTATGTTAAGTTTGATTATTATTGAATTTTTCCCATAATTACAATGAAAGATTATGAGGCTAATGGTCTAATACTTGTCATCTCATGCTGGATTTCTCTTCCATGAAGTTTAAAAAACTGGTTTTAAAGCTGAACAAGAAATGGAAGTTACGTGAAGTGAGGGAAGACAGAAAAATCATGGGAGCCCGTACATGTTCTTAGGAATTCCATTTAAAACTATTTAGTTACCAAAAAGAATAAAAAGTCACTCTGGCCTATTACTGAGGAGTTTGATCCTTTCCGCTCTGACTCTTAATCAAACTAAATTTACACATAACGTGTGCTGGGTCTTTATTTCTCCCATGTTTGAAGCCCAAGGACTTTCGCTACCTGCTCCTACATCACATTTTAAGCCTTTGGGAAGTAGTTCATGGTGGTGTATATATCTACACTACTTTATGACAAAAGTCTTCTTTAAAGGAAAAAAATGTCTATGGAATGGAGGATGTGAAACCAAATCCTATTGCAAGGTATGCCTGAGGATGGCTTCCTTAAATAATTTGAGACACGAGAATACTTGGTCTTCTGTGTAATTAATCACACACATAATGTGCATTTTCCATACCATAATTGTTCATTTCTGTAGTCTGCTTCATGGTTGATTTCGAACAAACATTTCATGAGGTTTATGAGTTTATATTGTGATGTACTTCGATAGTTTTCTTGTTTTGCCCTTTACTTGTGGTATGATTCGGAGGATATCCAAGCTAATTTTTTGTACCTTATGATCTTTTTTCTGTTAATGCAGTTATTTCAATTTTGTTTTAGCGGTCATAAAATTGACCCTCAACTTTATTGCTTTGCCAGCATGCAGCTAGGTATCTTGCCAATCAGGATTGGGTAAAAAATGATTCTCTGAAGACAGTGGAGAATACAGCTGTAACATCTCTTAATTTGTTTTTTCACTAGAAAACTTCATATAATCTGATCTTATCTCTAATATGTTCTCATTTGGTTCCCTTTTGTTTTAGATACCTATCATTATGCTTGTGGTGGAAGTTCCTTATGATGCTGTCACCTCTTCTGCTCCTATTTTGCAATCTCCAAATGGGAAGTCGGCTTGTACAGCTGGTGAAAATGGGAATGTTGTTTATTCTGATGTGATTCATTCAGAAGATTTAGCAGTGGTAAAATGCTCCCCGGTGAATAGTGACACGGCAAAGAATTCCAAATCAGTACGTCTTGACATCAGCTTCAAGACCCCCTCGCATACGGGACTTCAAACTTCAGAATTGGTAATTCTTTTGATTATGGCACTAAGACTGTCCGTGATTGGCCGAAAAGGAAAAGTGGATATACCTGACTGCCTTCAATTGTGGATATTAATTATTGCCGTCTTAAGCTATCATCCATCTTATTATATTTAAGGAAAATAAAAAAGCATTCTGAAGGTTTGATATGACTGAATAACTGTAAGCTTCTGGGATATCCTAGTTGTTTTATAAAAAACTTCCAAAGAGTTACTTAAGGAAATCCGCAAAGGATGACTGGATAGAAAAGCTTTAAAAATTGAAAATTGAATTTAATATTTATAATTATTGTTAGAGCAAATCAAGTCTTTTTATGGGGGAAAAATGGGAAGGCAAATGGAAATCTGATTGTTTGATCACTAGTTAAGAAAGATGAAGCAATTAAAGAAAGAATGGGAAATATTTTCGTTGGAAATGGAGAAGGGTGTTAACTGTTGTGTTGGTGAGGGGGGGGGGGTATGGTCTATGTTGTTAGGAGGAGAGGTGTTAGGATGCAAAGAGAAAGGAAAGATGTCAGGCAGTGGATATGGGGATCATCGCTAACATAAGGAGGGAGGAGAAGGGCTTTGTTTCTTGCCCTTTTTTTTCTTTTGGGAGGGGGGTTGTTGGGACAAAATTGTCTGGGGGCAGCAAATTAACTTTTTTGTTTTTCCAAAAATAATGTAATTTATTAGCTAGTTGCACAACAACCTGGCGCTTTTACCTTTCTTTTTTTCCCCCCTGTTCTTTTTATCCCAAAACGTACTTCCATTCTTGGGTAGTTTGATTTTAGTGTTGGTTTGTTGGTTTGCTGTTCAGGAAGCAGCAATCCAATCTCTTGTGACATTTAATCCATTCATGTCTACATTGGTTTTTGATTGACCAATATTGCATTCTACTGCTTCCTATAGGTTAAGGGTCTGACAGAACAATTTCCTGCTGTTACACCTCTTGCTCTGGTGCTAAAACAGTTCTTGGCAGATCGTAGTCTGGATCAGTCCTATTCTGGTGGCTTAAGTTCTTACTGCTTGGTATGCATGCTTAATAATTCGACATGAAATTTTGATTTCTAGATGTTTTCTCAGAGTTCTCTTGGTTCAGAAGTAACACAGATGGGATTTATATTTTCCGAAAATCTAACGAACAATGAAATTATCAAATGTCATATTTATTTTGTTGTGTTCAATATTTGTTAATTTATTAATGAAATGAATAATTAGTAATTTGTACTAATGATCTTGAACATTCAATATATTTAAGTAGTATATAATTTTAAAGGAGCATGAGAGATAGAACAACAAAGCAATAATAATCACTTAATATAGGACCAGTAGCAGAGAATAAGAAAAGAGGGGGAGATAAAAAGTAAGAGGGAGATATAGAAGAAATAAAGGGAGAGAAGGATGTAGAGAATCTGAAAATATCTCATACTAACTAATCAGGCCTAAACCTGGTTGGATTGTTGGGGCCTTTATACTGAGCTCGAGAGATAACTCCCATAGCTCAAATGAATGATTATATTAAATTGCATTAAAATATAATTATTAAAGCATGATAGCAAAATAATTGAGCCTATAACTAATATAAAGCAGACAAAAATTGATATTGAGTCCTTATTGTCATCCTCATTTAAATATTGTTTCCTATATTTATGTTTATTCTTTAGATTACAAATAATAACACCTCCCCTATTCTTTTTCCCTTTCTTTATTATGATGCCCATATACAAAATCAGCAATATCAATAAGATGTAAAATTTATGACAAGTCGTACTATTGACAAGTGGTGAATTAGTGCAACTCATTCTTCAAACTTTGTACAATGCATGGTAGGCCACCACTTAGGTGGTTATGGAGATGATCGGTATTAGCAAACTTCCTTTTTTTTTTTTCCCCCCAGTAGTGGTCTACATACTGGAGCCTCCTGAATAGAGATGTGCAATTGGAATTATATAGGTCTTTTGTATTGAAGGTTTTCAGTTTTTCCCCCCGATTTATCCTTTTCCTTGAGACACTATCTAATCCCCAACTGTTTGTGCTATCTTCCTATTAATATGTGTGCATTTAGTTCTTTATATACTTGTCATATTTTAATTGAGTAATCTAATAAGCATGCAAGTTTTTCCCATTATTTTATCCAAAATTTGAATCGCTCCTGTAAAATATCTTCATCTTTAATTCAAGGAAGATTGTCTACTACTATATAAATTTTCTTGTTTGTGAAAAAATTGTGCATAAGCTGGATTTCTATTATAGGTGTTGCTAATAATACGCTTTCTTCAACATGAGCACCATCTGGGTCGGCAGATTGACCAAGTAAGATTTGGTCCCTCCTTTACACTCCAAGTTTGTTTTTATTGTAATCTTTCTGCTGCTGGTAAGTGAGAATGTTACTATGGCCCTAACAAAAATATCAATGCGGATCATAATATTTTTGTTTGATGATGAGATCATATGCATAATTTAGGAGCTGGCATGGATGAATGCAATTCATTCTCTTTTTATTTGGTAGAATGCTTTCATTCTTAATTATTGTATGATGTGTTGGACTTCCTTTTATATGCTATTTTATTGTGGGAGTGCCTTGTTCTGGTATTTTTGCCTTGTAAGAAACTAATGCTTTGAAATCTGTTTGCTTGGTTAATGACTAGTTATGGAAAATGGGATAGTAGTTGAATCTGATTGGGATGGGAATTATGCAAGCTTGTATGCATTAGCATAAAAGAAATTAAAAGGAAAAAAAAGAGTAAATTGAATGATATAAATACAAATACTAATGCGTGAATGTGATTTAAACCTACATATGGAAGGTTTGCTTTGGCTTGAAAGTGGCAAATGAAACACTTTCATGTCTGGCACTTCTCAGAAATTGGTTTCTTAAAGAAGTTGAAACAATAATAAGAGCTTGGGTGTTTAAATGTCCGGACAAAGATCTCCATGCAAAAGAAAATTTTAACATGACAATTGAAACTGAAAGAGTTGTATAAATTGTTATACAGACTTTCATACTTGCTGATGTTCCATTGCAATTTTACCATCACAATTTGGAAAATGCATGTATATCTTAGTGGTTGTGATAAACCATGGAGGCTTCATTTGGCCTTCCTTTGTGATAAGGGACAATGAAATATAAGCACAATTAAAGGCTGGCTTTTATATGCCGTTAAATTTGTTAATTCTTTTCCAACGAATGGTTTCTTTCCAACAAAAAAATTGATTGCTGTAGTGGTTACTTGTACTGATTATTGCGATTTTGTTAATATTTCTCATACCTACTGTTTGAGTTTAGGAAAATTAGCTAAGCATTTGATGACTTAGTCTCAACTTTATTCAATGAGTTTAATCAGTACATATAGACCCCTAATTAGGGTAAATCTAAGATAAAATAAAGAATCTGATAGGATAAAATTAGATATTACCTAATCTAATCTACCCCTAAAATAACGAAAAATAATTAACAATAGATAAAAGCAACATTAATAAGTGAGCCCAATCAGGTGGGCTTGGGCCGTGTCTTTCAACTCCTACATAATCTAGCCACTATGTATCTCTATATTTCAGTGTTGGTGAGTAACTGGGTATTGATTTCAACGCTTTGTTTAAACTGGGAATGGAGAGTATTAACTCGCAGATATTTAATATTTTAATCACTTGCAAGTGCTAATCTCACACAATAACAGACTGTAACTATCAAGTTCAAGTTCTCATTCTCCTGCAAGGGACAGTTTTCTTCTTGACAAGTCAAGTTGGAGCTTAAATGCTTCAGTTAAAATCAAAGCCTGGGTCAGCAATACTCGAAAGCATAAGCACAAATGACTTGTAAATTATACCGGCCAGTATAATTTATTCTCTTGACATCTGTGTAACACGCTTATTAAGCTCAAAACTATCCCCATTTGATTTCTCCACTCTCTAGACATGTGGAAATGTGTTTTGTGGTATTCTTTGGTTTGTTTGGTTGGGGAGTGATTTTCACATCTTTAAGGGCATATCTTGGCCTTCAAATCTTTTATGGCATGGATTTCTGCATTTGGCTTCTCTTTGGTGCTCTACAGTCTACACATTAGTGTAGATAAGATGAAATAGAAACAAAGGCATATAAACCTTAGTTACTCTTATTCCAATTCTCTCCCTATCTCAATTTTACAGCACCATGTGCACTAATTTATTTGTTGTAGTCTGCAGAGGATCTGAAGTCTGGATTTGGAGTGATTTAATTTAAGGGATATTCAGATTTTTTTTTTTTTTGGGGACAATTTTCATCCCATCTACTTGTATGTTGAGCCTGTCAACTACTGATTCACATCTCTTTCCTCACTTTCTCTTAGTTGGCAAAAGCAATTTTTATTCTGTTTATCTCAGAGTACATGAAAATTTACCAATGAAGAGCAAAGCTTTCTCTTGGAGGCATGAATTTGTGACAATATTGCTAAGTGTATTTTTTGTTGTTTAACATTATCTGACCGCTACTTAATAAACTTGTCACTATTACCTTGCAGAACTATGGAAGCCTTCTAATGGATTTTCTCCACTTTTTTGGGTTAGTGAGCTTTCTTGTTGCAAATGATAAACTACTGATATGTTACCATCACGAAGTTTTTCAGACGGTTTTTTCTCTCTCTTTTTGGTTTGTGCCTATTTAGGAATGTATTTGATCCCCGCCAAATGAGAATTTCTGTCCAGGGAAGTGGAGTTTATCTAAAAAGAGAAAGAGGTTGTAGGTAATAGTGAACCCAAGCCCTATTTTTTTTTTTTGAATATGACATGGTATCCTTTACACTTATATTCGTCCCCTGATGTTGATGACCGACTACTTGATTTTGTAGCATTGACCCAATACACATAGATGATCCTCTTTTCCCAACGAATAATGTGGGAAGAAATTGCTTCCGCATACATCAGTGTATCAAGGTAACAGTTTTATATGGGGTTAAGGTGCAAATTTGCCCTGAAAATTTTTTATTTAGGAGCATTGTGCGCTCAGAAGTTTTTTCTATTTGTAAATTTGCCCAGAAAATTTAAAATCATAGTAATTTTGCCTTTTATCGTTAAAAATATTAGCGGCCAACTTCACTAGTTTAACAGTCAATATTAGTTTTATTATGATAGGTGGTAATATTGCTATGATTTTAAACTTTCGTGGCAAATATGCCAAAAAAACTTCCGGGTGCCTAGTGAAAACTTTCAAAACAAAGTTGCACCTGAACCCTTTATCATAATTACCAAATATGGTGCTTTTTCAGTCTAAAATTGCTTGTCTATGCAATGACAACTATTATGATAAATTAGAAATGAAGTTGAATGTCTTGATCTATATCTTTCATTAGAATTCCTTGAAAGAATGCTTGAAAAATTTAGCTTTTTTTCTCCTTTGTTAATTGCTGTATCTTTCATCATCTTTTTTATGGTTGTTTCTAAATATTGGGCTAATAATTTAGCTTTTTTCTAGTTATGTTTTTAATTTTTATGCAAAAGTTTTGGTGCAGGCATTTTCAGAAGCTTTTTCCATTCTTGAAAATGAACTTTCACGTTTAAATTTTGATGGAAATGTTGAAGAGCCATGTTCAAGGCCAACTCACCTGCTGCTTCCGAAAATCATTCCAAGTCTTGATCTATCATAGAGATTCTATTGCTGAAGAGTTTGTGTGGAAGGTATTTCATTCGCCAGTGATGATATTTAATTATAATTTTATACTTAGGTCTTGCAATTTCTGTGCTCCTCGGAAGTTGGTGCAAAGGAAAAATAAAGGTTAAAATAGTATTTGGTTCCATAAGTTTATTTATTGTTTCAATTTGGTAAGTCAAGTTTGCTTTGCGCCAGATCGGCTGCTCTACTTTCAGTTCTGTCTGCCAGGTTACACATGGCATGCCATGCTAACTTTATTGGACCGTTTTTCTTTTTGTCTCTTTTCTGTTCTTGGACAAGACTTGTTTGCCAGCAAAGATATATGTTTATGATGCATGTGATTTGGTTTTGGCCGATGTCACCAAATTGGGATCAAGGGCTCCAAGTGAAAATGATTGAACTAATTGTGGAACCAAAATACTAATTTAACCGAAAATAAATTTGATTTTGAATTTTGATTTGGTGATGATGACCAAATGGGGAAAGAGCAAAGGAATATTTACGGAGGTCTAGCTCTTTGTTATTTGTAATTTGATATCGGGTTTCTTGGGTCTCATCTCAAGGTCCTGTTTTTAGAAAGTACTTGCCCTTCATTGAGACCTAGGCTGGTGACAAAGTATATATTGTGGGCAAAATTGCTTTCTACTGCTAGTTTGTTGTCAACTCTTCCTGTATAATGGAATTAGTTCATAAGGACCTCTCTGCCTTTCACTTCCTTGTCCTTCAATCTTGGCTTCTGTTGTTCCTTCCTGTTGCACCTTCACCACCCCATCATCGCCCAACTCCAATGCCATCGTTGCCTGCACTTATCTCCTACACTCTTCTTCAGTCTCCTATCTTCTCCAACTTCAACCTTGGTCTCAGACTTTGATCTTGGTCATCATCATCTGCTGCTTCTTTTTATTTTGTTTGGCGCTACAATGAATGTTGTTCAGTCTTCATCTTGCTCTAGGGTCTCTTTGTCCTCCCAGATCCCACAATTTTTCCTCTGATTACTTTTGACATGGTGGTGCATTTCTGATCTGAGCCTTTTTGTTATATGAACCAGTGTGTTTCATTGGTATATGCTAGTGTTTCACCATTTCAAATTTGGTTTTGCATTGTGGATATGGTATATCAGTGCCTTTACAACTATACTCTTTGATCTGGTTTTGCTTCTTCATTTTAGTATTTTCCGGCGAGAGAAGATAAAGTTCTGTGATGGCTTGTGGTGTTGATGGTGAGCAGGGATTGAGATTTTTTTTTCCTTAAATAATTTTGCCCATGGCATTTTGATCTTTTAATATTATAATGTATATATAAAATAAAATTAGGATTCAATTTTTCATACTAAACATGTTTTTAAGCTCCAAATCTATGCCGAACTCTGGTTTTGTTTCCATTTCCTTTCCAATTTCTTTAAAAATGATTCAAACATGCCAAACGTGGCCCAAGTTAGCTCTTGGTTGCTGAATTAGCTATTTGTTTCTTTTTTCGTTTTTTGAGATTTTCATCCGTATGCATGAGGTGTTTTATGTATTTCTTTTCAGCTAATTCTTATTTATAATTGTTTTATGCATGAGGTGTTTTCTCTGTATGCTTGGCATTTGATGTCTTTGTACCGATCCAAGGAAATCAGTGCTGCCTTTGCATTTCTTTTAGAATTTTAAATTGTAAAATAAGCTGTTAAGAGTGGATGAAATTGTTTTGATGGTCTTGTAAATCTGACTATATTATTTAATATTTTTTCCTGCCTGCACGCAGTTTATAGTTTTCTTGTCTGATGCTTTTAATGCAATTGATTATGAATTTTATACTAAGAAATTAAATATAAATCATGATTGGCAACATCACCTTCAACTAATCAAACAAATATGATGTTTCTTTTTGTGTTAGGTTTGTGAAAAATTGTTACCTACCTTACAAAAGTTGGCCTATTCGGTGGAAGGAAGTTATGCAGGTGAAATCAATTTAAGATTTTAGATGTTTAACTAATAGTCTAAATTTTGCAGTTTGTTTATGCATAACTGTGCCATTGATGTTTATCTTCTTTATTATATCATGGTTGTACAGGTTGCCACATTTCCATGTTTATCTGTCATCATGTTTCCTTGGTTTTGGTTTATACTCGGCAATGATTATTTATTAAATGAGCATATGGTTCTCCTTGGCTTTATAAAACAGTACTATAATGGAGATTTGTTCTGCGGAGGTAGTTTCATATTTTGGCTCATTTTTTCCACTTTCAAAATCCTAGTAATTGTTCCCCCTCGCTCTCTCCCCCCTCTCTAAATACTACCATCATTCCTACATATAACATTCAGTTTGTGGTGCAAATTTGATTCATAGTTCAAAGTTTGTAGTGCAAATTGCACTACAAACTAGGTCATCCATTTAAGACTGGAGGTAGTAAAATCTAGGGATTTGAATTTGAGTGTTTATGTTGTTTGGTTATATCCCATTTGCTGTGCCAGATTTCTGGCTACTTCTAAGCTATACTTACACCAATGTTGGTTCACAGCAAGTGCATCAACGCAATGCGACCACAGGCACCAACTGAATGATTCTGCTTCAAATGACAGGTTTGACGTCTGAACTTGTATTTATCATTCTATATTTGCATTTAGAGAGAAACACACTGAAAATTTAAGCTTGTTTTATCTTTCTCGTCCTTCAATGACTATCTAAACTCCAATACGGTTCCAAAATTGACTATAATTATATTTAACTTAGGCCCTGTTAGCAGGGAGAGAAAGCAAGGTCTTCCAATGGTGGTTGTCTGGAGTGTTGATAGCAAAAGTGTTATGATCAGTCTCTTATTTCTCTCTGTGCTTGTGTTTTCACTCTCAAGTATTATCTGTGACATCCACTGAGAGATATTTCATATCGCTAACTTCATTAATTTGGCTAGTTAATCTTTGATATGATCCTCTGTTACTTATTTCTGCTTCAAGTCAATTTGATTATATAGATTGAGTTTGAACTCAAACCCTTCAGTTTTAGAGATAAGATAGATGCCACTGAGCCAAATTTTATTGGCTGATCTTTACATTCTTTCTTTATAAAAATGTAGTTTGTTGTAGGGTAAAAAAAAAAATCTGATTTATTATATTTGCGGCCACTTACTAAGCTACTTTAGGACTATATTATGAAACTTTATTTTGCTCTAAATAATGTTATTTTGAAAAATACCAGGGTTTGTGTGAGGTATTGTACGAGTTCTAGTGTAAATGAGTCTCTGGCTGGTCCCAAAAAATTGGAGTTTCAGGTGCATCATTCTTGGTTCAGAATCTAGTTGAGGTAACTGACTATCCCATGGAATTTTTTTCATCCATGAATGCCTTTTCTCACTCACACTTCTGGCTTTCATCATTTCAGGAGTATTTCAAGAACAGAGCTTAATGTTAGTGCATAATTGTGATCTTTGCTAGTCTCCTTGTTTGGGGTGGATGACTGAACTATTGACTGAGAGCAAGGCCGGGTAGGTAATGAAAATCCATGTAAACAAGCTTAACCAGCTCAGCCAGTATAATGTTGAATTTTAAAGAATGAGAAAAATGAGGAGATAAATTTATCCTAATCCATCTTGTTGCAAATCTGACCCACATCTCACTATAGTTCATTAGACTATGGCATCCCTTTGGCAAATGTAGACTAGAGATTGAGATGATATGTAGAAATCGTAGGGGATAACAAGAAAAGTGTGAAAAGTTGGAGTTTGGGTTACGATCGTGATTTCTCAGAGTGTAGAACAAAAGGAAAAAGTTAGATTATGTGAAGAAAATGTATACAACTCTTAAAATGATTACATGGTTACACGACGTATAATGAAAATTTTATGGTGATATATTGCTATTTTGCCTACAACTCTTCAATGATTACTTGGTTGAACCATGAAATGAGAAGCAGTTAAGTCGTATATTTACCTTATCGATTGATATTGTTTATAGTAATTTACAATTTAATTTAAAGGTAATTGTGATATATACAATATCAGTTGGCTCTTCACATTACTACCAATTTGATAGGCCTTGTTAGGACTCTCAAAGATACTAGAATTAAGCTTAGAAATGCAGTGGCTCAACTCTAGATTGATTCACAAGAAGGCTTGTTGTTCAGGATTCTTGTTAATTAAATGCTTTTGCAAATTACTAATAGTGGAAGTGATCTGATTATGTCTAATTGATTTAACTATCTATTCTACTTTTTATATTGATTTTTTGCTTTAAGATGAGTGATGAGTGATTGTGGCAGGAATGTAGGAATAAGCGAAATGCAGTGATGATAATCTTCCTAAGAGTGGCAACCTAACCTTCTTAGCCTAATAAGAAATAGAGTTGATTGTGGTCAGAAGAATGGAAGCGTCGGATTATAAATGAATGAACCGAAAATTTCCAAGGTAACATCAATAGATAGTTATCACGTATTAATCGACCCAACTACAAAACCAAATCAAACTAGATTCAATAATGCAATCAAGTCTACTCTGTATTAAGGAACACTGTTAGATTCATAACAAGACTAATCTAATTACAATATATCCTAAAGAAAACAATCCTAACCCAATCGAGAATCGCAATTAAAATACAACCATATATCAATCATGAATTAGGGACGTTGATAGACTCTCTTGTCAGAATAGAGGCTTCAGTTCGATCACACCTCTTAGGAAGGTGGAATATTAGCTGTGCATGGTGTCTTGAGTTGCTTCACCAAGCTCCATTGAAGGATCATCCATTGCAACAATGGACAAGAAAGATGAAATCTAGAGGTTGCAGGTTGGCGGAGAATCTACGGTGGATGAGACGGAGAAGTTGAGAATTGAAGAGAGAATGGAACCGGAGGTGGAGAGAATGAAAGATGCTAGAAGATGATAGAGGTGTCGAAGGAATATGGAGAAAAATGGGGAGTGACAGAATGGTGATGATCCGTGTAGGGAAAAAAATGATGATGATGAAGTGTAGAATCTGACGGAGAATTCAGCTCCTCGCTGAATGAATCAAGCTCCTCTTTATCAAAACGCACAGCATCTACTGGTCCCCTTTGGTCATTTTACAAATTCCATTCTACCATTACTTTGGTCCTTGGATGTAATTTCTGAAATCTTCATTAAATCTGTAATAATTCTCATAAAATGATGTGATACCCAATATCCCAAAATAGATAGTAATTAGTGCAATTCAACTCATAAAAGATAATAAAACCCCTAAATAATCACATATAAAACATAGTAAAATATGGGTTTATCACATATCATTTAAAATTAGCATCTAAGAGTTACATAAATGTCTTCATCATTTTCCTTTAGTGGAGATATTAGGATATTATATTGTTATTCTAAATAGTATAGGGTCAGATATTATTCTTAGGAATATTATTCTGTCGTTTAACAGCCATTAATATTGAGGTTCATCCCTCTTGGCTCCTGTACATATACCCATTCTCTAATCATGAATAGACATAAGAAATTTATATTATCTTTCCTATTTCTCCATGTGATATCAGAGCAACTCTTTTAGTATTCTGTTTCCCTAAAAATATTTGTATTTTGCCACGTTTGACATGTAAACACTTCCACTCATTTTCAACGATGTACCATCAGTGCATATGATAAAATCTACAATAAACACATCATTTATAGGCATCAACAATGTCTATTTGCTCTTATAAAACAGGCATATATGGATACTAACCATACTCCAGAAAAGTACTGCATTTCCTTAAATAGGTTTCACGTATAGCCTTTTAACAATTTTCCCACCACAGTTACATTCACCTGAACCACCCTGCAATTCATTTATGTACATTATATGTAAAACTAAAAATAAAGATGCCAGCATATTATATGAGTCATCATCATCTTACCAAGTCATTATATGTTTCAAGAAGGTAGAATCAATATAAACTAAAAATAAAAATAGTAGTAATAATTTTTATTAAAAAAACAAATGGAATGGATTGATTAACATAACTGGTTTGAATTAAAACTCAGGAGCAGGACATTAAGAGCCTTACTTTTGTAACTACAGCATAGGACATTATAAACTTATAATAAAAATATATTAAAAAATTGTTAACAACTAAATTCACATGAATATGGGCTCATGTTTTACACAACGTCTAAGGTGAGTCGGGTGCTTATGACTTGGGCATAGTACCATGTAGATTTAAGGAGTCAACCACAATGGTATCAAGTGTTTCTTCTTGTTCATGTGTCCATACTGTTACATCATCAAGTCATGCTATCTGTTGCTGTTTGCAAAGAATCCTTCCTCCTCATATGGACTTCATCAAGTTGCTGTTCCTAGTAATTGTCTGTGTCTATTTTGCTGTTGAGCCTACGGCTTAAGTGTCGTATTAGGTTTTTATGAATGAATACTATTAATGAAAGTTGAATCTAACAAAAAGGGCTAGTCCTTCACAACATGAGGAACCAAAGTTTGAATTCCGGTTAGGAGATGTGCTCACATTTAGTATCCGATAGTGCTTCAAAAGGATTATTTTTAATAAGAAGATACTTGTACTTAGGGGGCAAAAAAAAATACTGTATTGCATGTTCGCTTCTCTTTACACTTATTCTCTTTCTTTTATATCTCTATATTCAGCCTTTTTGTATGTTTCCAATTTTGTATTTTTAATTTTTTTTCCATATTTCATAAAATAAAATGAAACCCAAAATAAAAGTTAACCTTTTACTAATAATATAGATATTGAAAAGTTTAGAAGAGAAGCCTGATACACACTCACACGTGTGCGCAAAAGTGCAATTGGCTTACACATACCAACATTTGATTTAAATCAAACATGACTTCTTATCTCACATACAAATGAACCTATATTTGTGACACTAGTCAATCTACATATTGGCTTCATATCTATCATCTAATAATGGCTTACAAAATAAGCTAAATGAAATGTTTCAAGAAGCAAGAATTTTACCATTGAGAAATGTGTTTCACCACTCCCAGCATTATCACTTATATACATAAGCATCGTCGCTATTCACTGTCCACCATTCTTCAAGTTGATCTGTTGTCAAAACAAAAGAAAAGGCACAAAAATGTGCAAATTGCTTGATTAAAACCACTTCAAGGCAATTCTTATCATTGCAAAATGGAAAAGACAGGAAGGAGGGGAATAAAACTCACAGGATCAGTAAAATAGTCAAGATGGCATTTCTGAAACTGATTTTTCTCATACCTGTGATTCTGCAGACGTTAGCCTTGGTACCAGGAAAGTACGTCTTTTTCTTTTTCTGGAAAAGAATGGAGGAAAATAATCATATCCTACCTCAAAATTTGAATATCCTCCCCATTTTCAATTGGTACTTGAGCATAAATTGAAATTCTTTTTCAATCGCCTAGATGTGAGTTGAACATGTATTATCAAAATGTTCAATTAGTCCTCACCAGAAAAAGGTTTCTCAAAATTATTCGAATGAATAACCAAATATGCACCACAAGTGCAAGCACAAAGCAGAACTAACTAATGATGTTGAAGGAAACTAAAATCTTCATGTGATAATGAAAACACTAACCATTAAGAAAAAGGCGCACAAGAAGAAATGAGGTAATGAAGTAAAAGCAAAAATGTTGGGTGTTGATAATAGTGGAAGGCAATTCAGATAAAAGACTAAACAAGAAAGTATACTTGTAGACAAACTTACCTGCACCACTGTGTGTTGTTTATCTTCCGAACTCAGGAACATACCAAAGCTTGTTCTCATATTAGAGATATAATGCTGTGAAAGATGACGGAAAATCAGATACGATGCAAGCTGGAGGCTACAAACTACGATTCTTATTTGAAGGATACATACAATAGAGTAAGTTGATAGGCTATAAAAAAGAACATCTGTAGAAATAGGATAATCACTGCTTTATACATTTTCCCTCATTTTCTCTCCTTTTTCTAATGCTTTCTCAAAAACTCATCATCAATTCTTTATTGATATGTAAAGAAGGTAAGATCCTTTGGTGTTCCGCAGTATCTGCAGATATTTTGATGTTTATAGTGGAAGATAAATACAATAATATTCAACGAGAAATTTCAGTATTGGAACCTTTATAAGAAATATTGCCGTATTGGGTTATGTTAGGATAGCCTTGCACCCTAGATACAACTGTGAAAATGAGGTGTGACATAGTTATATTCCAACTGTTTCTACCTACCGGCGAAAATGCAAATTTGTGCATAGTTGTCGCATTTAATATAAAAGTTTTTGGGTTAGTATTATCTTTAGTCCCTGAAGTTTGATTGAATTCTGGTTTTGGTCTTTGAAATTTGACCTAATTTTTGGTTCACCTAAAGATTTTTTTATCCTTGGAATAGTGTTTTTGGTCCAGGAAGGTTCCTAAAACAAGTTCTCATGGACCAAAAATCGTTGGTTTCAAATTTCAAGGACTGAAACTAAAATGAGGTTAAGTTTTAGGGACTAAAGATGATCTTAACTCAACATTAACAATACACTACCTTTTATCCTTAATATAAGAACTAGTTTGACTTTTAATTTGATCCTAAATATAATATCCCAATTTGCTTTGTCTTTCATATATATATTTTTTCAAAATAGTCCTTGAA